AGTCAAAGTCTAGACAAATTCTAATCAAATTCTAGAAAAATTTTAATCAAATTGTAAAAAAATCTTAATCAAATCCTAAACAAATTCTAACAAAATCTTAAATCCTAAACCAATCCTAAATCTTGAACAAATTCTTATCAAATCCTACTATAGTTTCAAACCTCCATAACTAACAATCAAACTATTGATTTCAATTCAAATTTTTTATACATCTCAATAATTAAGCTAGCAACAAGTACATATGTTTTTAGAAAGATCAAATATACCAAATAGAAGATAAATTCTAAAATCCACTTAGGTATTGGCTAACTTCCTTTTCTAATCTTGATATAAATCTTTCTAAGCCAAAATTTCTTAATTATATTGTTAAATACCTTTCAAAATTCACATATATGTTTGTAATCAAGTCTAATACCTACAAACATAAATTTCACCTCAATTCAACTTGAAAATTGCTAAAGATCTTAGAAATCCTTTTTGACCTTCAAAACCTCATTTTTGATACTTCAATCTACTTGAACTTTTACAATCTTCAATCTAACTATTTGATTGCACTCAAATTTATAAAACACAATGAAAAAAAACTTTAATTGCAAACCTAAAAATTATCACTTGTCTATCTACTATCAAACTCACAAAAAAATTCTAAATGTAAATCTTTTTTTTATTTCACAAAACCAGATTCACCAAAAATAACTCTAATTTTGCAAAGTCATTACAAAGTCATTACAAAATCATTAAAAACTCAAATTTTCCAAAAAAGAAATGCTTAAAAAAATCTTATAAAGTCTTTTTTCAAATTGTACTCTTTGATTTACCAAAGAACCCTTGAGTTGCCATAAGTACAAGATTTTATGCCTTAGAATCTAATTTTGACTATAGTTGGCAATCGGTCTTTTTTGAGTATCAATTCTTATTTTCTTGAGATAATTTTTGCTAAAAACAACTCCTAACTTCTTTGTACATATTCTTAAATCATTTATTTTTTCTAATCTATCATATTTTATCTTATTTATGGTCCTAAAAAATAAGTAAAAATCCATATTATAAAAAAGAAGTATTTATATTTTTAGTTTTACTACCTTTTGACTATTTTTTTTTCTAAAATAATTTATTATAATATTTTGAAATAAGATCTTCTATAATATAATATTTTCTTCACTTTTTTATCTATTAGTCATGTTATTTCACAATACCAAATCCCACCACCTCTATCTTAATCTCCATCCTTCCTTATTTCAATTCCACCTCCATCTTGATTGCCATCTCTTCTTGTCTCAATCCCACCTCCATTTCTACCTTATGTCCATTCTTCCTATCTCACCTTTCTTGTCTCACTCCATTCACATTTTTTTCATCTTTCATCTTTTCCATCCTCACGCTGTTGTCGTGTTGTGGTTTAGCTACTATGTGAAAGTAATACACATATATATATTTAATATATAATTTATTATACAATATAATGAGAGTTATGTTATTAGATTTTTTTTTGGTTAAAAAATATAATTAGATTATTATTTTGAAGAATTAGTCTAAAAGAGCTACTATTGAGATTATTTTTTTATATTGATAATAATTTTTATATATTTAGAGCTACTTTTATTAGACATTGGTGATTCTTAAAATCTTATTTTATTTCTTTTATTTGGTGTTTAGAGCACATACTATATAAAATTTATTACAAAATAGACTAGAGAAGGATTTTGGTATCAAAAGAGGTAGTTAGGTCATTCATATAGATGAATAGAGATAGATGATAAAAATCTCCATTCCTATTGGCCAAAAGTTATGTTTGATGGGCTTCAAGGAGGCTACTTGAGTCCTTATTAAGAATTAGAGTTATTTTTTTCTATGACATTTCAATATTAAGGCTAAGATTAGTAAGTTTAGGTTTCTACATATGATTTTGGTGAGAATTTTGTGTAATTTGGAATTTTTATGAAAGAGATATAGATACTCAAAATCAAGGTATTGATTTTGTGTACATTATCATTTTTTAGAGTATTATGCACATGAATAGAAAGCAATGAAGGATTGGCAATTGAACTTGGAGAGAGAATTTTTTTGCTATATTTAATATGTATTGTTTAATATATTCTAAGTTAAAATGAAGGAGATATTGGAAGTTAAAGTCACCACTTGGAATCTAAGAGCAGCAAGTAACCATATTTACTAGTAGTTGTATTTTGAACTATATCTCAAGCAATTTGATAAGATTTTGGCTTAAAATTTTTAAAAATATGTATTATCATGTTATTTAGCTATATACTAATTTTTGTGGTATTTAAATTTTTTATTTTTGAGATATGAAGAAAATAGTACTTAGATGCTTGTAAATTGGAATTTAGAGTACTTACCAGGATTTTTAAGATTAGCAATAAATTTATGATTCATTCTATTTTTGATAAAGCTTAAGAATAAATTCTACATTATCTAGAAATTTTAAAAAAATTGAATAGTCAGATCAAGAGATATAAAATTCTATAATTTGGAAAAAAAAAAAAAAAAAAAAAAAAAAAACCCATATAGAAAAAAATATTTTGAAGGAATTTTGATACAACTTAAGCATTTTATGTAAAATAAGGGGGTTTTAAAAGCCAAGACTTTATATCTATATATACATATATATATATATAAAAAAAATATATATATATATATATATATATATATATATTAAAAATTTATATATAGAGCTATAATAAAATTTTGATATAAAGATAATTTTTGAAAAAAAATTATGGATTTTCTTTGAAATTAATGTCTCCACCTTTGTCTCTATCCTCTCCCATCATCACTTAATTTTAAGATTTAATGAAAAATTATATTTTCAAACATGATGAATATTTTAGATTTTAAAAGAGATCTATCTTTGATAGTAAGTTGCTAGTATTTAGTCATGTTATTTTATTATAATTTAATTTAAGAAAAAATTATATCAATATTTAATAAAAAATATTTATCTTATTTATAATTATTTGTAATATTAAATATTATTAATGCTATAATTTCACATGTCTAATTGTATTTAATTTAAGTTATATTTATTTATATGATTAATTATTTTATGAAAAAAATCATAAAAAAAAACTATCAAATACTTTGATATTTGCATATTTATAAATAAATATCTTGTATTATTTAAAATATATATTAAAATTGAAATTTGATTTTAAAAAAAAATTAATAATAATAATAAATATCCAAATTTTAAAAACTTATATAAAAGTAGATATTATTAACAACCTTCTTTGGCCAAATTTCTCTCATTTTTTCTATATTGATATTTGGTAGAAATATGATGGAAACGGGGATGCAGACTAAGGTGAAGTGGAGATAGGGAAGGTAGGCACGAGGTAGGAGTGGGATAGAGAAGGAGATAGGTATGTATGTAGAGGTGGGTGGAGATGGGGTTGTAGGGTCTGGGTGGAGATGGGGTTGTAGGGTCTGGGTGGAGATGGGGTTGTAGGGTCTGGGTGGAGATGGGGTTGTAGGGTCTGGGTGGAGATGGGGTTGTAGGGTCTGGGTGGAGATGGGGTTGTAGGGTCTGGGTGGAGATGGGGTTGTAGGGTCTGGATGGAGATGGGGTTGTAGGGTCTGGATGGAGATGGGGTTGTAGGGTCTGGGTGGAGATGGTGGTTGGAAACGAGATACATGAATAAGAAATGAGGGATATGGGATGGGAACATGGTAGTAGAGTCAAGGTGAGAATGGTGGCTGGGAACATGATATCAAATAAATCATTTAGTGGGAAGAGAGAATGTGGCTTTAACAAGTCTTTATATATATCTTCTCTCTCTTCTAATTTTAATATAATAAAAAAATATATATTATATATATATATATATTTCCTTTGATAGTAATTTTATTTTGTTTTTATTTTATAATACATGTTTTCGAACAATCTTCTTCCATAAGAAAGGACTCTACAAGTGTTATATACTACATGGATATTAATGACAAATTCACTTGAATCAAAGAAATTTGTGTTCTTCTAAAAAAATTATATAAATAAGAAATATTAACAACTTTCTTGTAATCCCAACCACTTTTTAGTACATTGTATCTTTTTTGATACCTTTAACCAAATTGATTATTTACAAAGTTTAAATTAGGAAGAGTATAATTATTTATTTATTTATTTATTTATTTATTTTAATTCTAATCCATTGAGGCACCACAAGTCTTAGGCATCATTATAAAGTTAATTTTGACATATGATATCATAAGTCCTTCTAAACATGATATATGCAACATTATATAAGTTTTTTGAACAAGATGTGGTTTTTGTTCATTTGTTTATTTTTTTTTGAAATATTTATTCATTGGATCTTGAATAAACCAATACAATTTTGATAAACATGATCAAATAATTAATTTTAAATTAAAAAATCATTTAAAAATAATTTATGGTCATTTTTTAAAATCAAACTATAAAAAGAACTTCTATAAAAACTTAATTGCACAAAACATATATAAGTAATTTTATTGTAATTTCACTTCTAAAATGTTTTTAACATTTGAATGCAACTTTAAAGTCATGTTTTAAGGCAATTATATAACCACCAACAAAATACATATCTGTGAATAGTCAATAAATATTAGGTGTTGTGGTTGGCTGCAAGGATCAATAAAGTAATTAAAAATTTATTCAAATTTGAAGTATTCTGCAAATATATTGCAATATGGTTTGCATCTATTATTATTGGTTTTCCAGATTTATTAATATTTTATTGTTTTAAATTTACTTTTGACATTCAGTTAAGGCCTTTACGTTGAATTAGTGTATTAATTAGAATTTACATACCTTCACAGAAAATGTTTCAAAAGTTCACATGGAATTCACACAAGATACTTTTGAACATCACATAGAAATCTCATATTACAATCAGGTAATATGTTCAAATGGAGTTCATAGATTTATTGACATCCCAGGAGACGAATTAAATTTTGGATAATCTATTTTTGTGCTCAACAGCACTTCACCCTTCAAAGCATGTAAATAAATAAATGAATGAATGAATAAATGGAGAGACGCCGAGACAAATGCTTTGTCTTGGGACAATAGCACTCGTGGAGGCAAGGTCATTCATGCGATCATACTTGTTACTAATATCAGGAGTTATGAAGCATGAAAGTGGAAGTAACCAATGCTGTGTACAATTTGTACACATGCATTTTACACTACCAGATACAGCCATCCTGACTTTGTGAAGCAAGAGCGCTGCTACCTGGACACAAATGTTTTGAGGTGCTACGCAGCACAACCTGCATCAGAACTGTCTCTGATTGAATGTTCTCGACAGCTTTCCTTCCTAGCCTGACTGATGGCCTACAGATGATGGTAGTTTCGAAGACATGAGAAGATTACAAAAATGAGCCACAGAGACAGGAAGCAGAAGGAAGAAACCCACGCCCACTTCCGAGGTCCTCCCAGCTCTCCTCCGAAAAGGAATCTCCGTGCGATGATAACAACTAGGCAGATAGCAAAGGTTACAAAGAAAAGAACTAGAGCGAAGCCCAGGCCGGCAGAGGGCACTCGAAACTCTTCTTTCAAATGAATCCAGTTGTAGAAAGATTGCATTAGCCATGGAATGCCGATGCCCACGTACACGTTGATGCAGTTGCTGGAATCAATCGCCAGTAGAATGTGGTAAGACTTCAAGAGACTGTTTATTAATGTTACGGGCATCGTAAGAATATGCGTATGGATCCACTTCAAGCATGAGAAAGAGAACATTAAGCTTTAAGAAAAACACAAGAGCGAAGAAGTATGATATGCACCTTGCATTGATGTTAGCTATGGCTGAATCTGCCGTTGGTTGAATTTCGGCAGCGATTTTGCTTGCTATTAGATCAGGCAAGGAGGTACCGGCTGCCAGGACCGTCAAGGCCAGAGTGTATTTTGAGATACCTGTTAACATGAAATTAGCTATTAGATTGGGTTCTCCTCGACAGAACGGAAGGAAAGAGTATTGTAAATTCTTTTTGGATCAAATTGCTCAATACTCTTCCAACACATACTAACACTAATTAATTTCACCTCGTGAACCAACGGAGAGAGTGGTTAAGGGAAGGTGACTTGGTTTGTTAGTGTTTACCTGTAACGCAACCAAATAGATTAGTCAGTTTGATCAGGAAACAGGCAATTACTGTAATGTGTGCCAGTGCACACAAGAAAGCCGCCCATCCATGTAACAGGGAAGGAGGTGGAAGAAAAGCAAAGATAAAACGCCACGGTAGAGTGATCAAATAACCGATAAACTCGACAGCTGTCAGCGCCAGATTCTTCCCACTGTCGTCCACTTGCCCCTGGAACTGCATCATTTTGCAATACCATTTGTGACTTAAATCAACTTAATCAAAGACGCACTTTATGAGTTCTACAAATACAAAAACTAGTTTAGTGGCTTCCATCGCCAAGTTTGTGAGACTTACGACAATGACGTCAAGAAATTGCTTCTTCCAGGTGGAATAAATATAAGTCCACATGGAGGTTTGCTCGTATATATCGTAGGCTAATCGCTGCTTAAGAAACTCTTGATTGCTCCCTGGATCATTCTCGTCTTCTGAATACCATCATCAAAGCACTTCAGTAACTTAAAAATTAGGGCTTGAGAGGAAAACAGACCAACGTTGAACACTGCAGAATCAACCATTAGCGAAACCGAAAGCAGATAACATTGTTCTCACATTACGAACCAATGCTCACCATTTTTGTCAACTGCAACTGCGACCTGCTGCCATTCAATCGGCTTGATCGGATGATCATCACATGTGACCCTGTTCCTAATTTCTTGCTTAGGTTGATGCTGCAAGTCTACTAGCTCCCATTCAGATCTATGCTGCTCCAAGTCGACTCTGAAGCCATACGTGCGTGCTGGATTATGTGTAAGCATGATTGTTTCGAGCGATCAAAGGTGCTAATAAAGCAAAACTAAGACCAGAACATAAGCACAGAATAAACAGTTCTCCAACTCTGATGATCACACAAGTAGGAAGAATCTTACCTAGGACTAGAAGAGTACGCAGTGGACTGATCGTGTACAGTCCCATTATGAACTGACAGAGAAAAGTCCTTCAAGGGACTCCATGAAACATGCATGCATGGCCAAAGAGGCCGGCAAAAGTTTCCCCAGCCTTTGTCTTGTATATAGGCATGGGTCATAAGAATGGGAAACTGAAGAACTGTGCACATAGCCTCCCATGGCTCCACCACGTTGGGAGAAGAAACCTGAATAAATTGATCCATAAACTAATCAGAAGACAAAAAAACAGGTAAATTACTACACACTACAAATTCTTGATGCATAAAACGATCAGGAATCTGAAAATTCCAAGGTTGTGCTTCTCAACTCCATTTTTACTGCTTCCGAACCTTGAAGCCCTCACTTACAACAAACAACCCATAACTGCTGTCATAGGGAAACAACTTGAATTAATCAATGATTTTCCTCTTACAAAATCACCTGCAGAATAATTGCAAGCCAGACGTAGGCCCAGATCGACCAAGAAAGTTCTACGATCCAAACTCCAACGTTCTGAATGCGTTTCACAGATCCAGCTTTTGGGACAAGAACGCATACGGCCAAAATTGGGTATAGGTTGAATGCTGCAGAGCCAACAATAGTTTCCGGACCTAAGCCTGCAAAGCAATATTTCGATTTTCAGCTAATGATCACCACAGAGGTTGTATACACGCCTCCAACAAAATAATAAATAAATAAATAAATAAAATAAAAAATCCTAGTTTATTGAACTCACATATTCAGGGGGAAAATGTCGTAGTGGAAAAGAATATGGAAATTTCCCAGTAATTCACAAACTAACAAAACAACGAGACCCAGATTAAAAGGTGGGCACCTGCATTAGTCTTCTGCCCAATCTGTTGGATAGCATCAATAATAGAAAGCGATATTTGAGGAGCACTGGTCCCCAGTGCTAAGAGAGTGATATCTGCAATCACTGGATTCCATACCCTCACATGCACTACTTCTTCACTTCCTGATTCGTCGTTGTGACGAACAATCTTCCGAGTTCGATTTGCAATTGTTCCCATTGCCTGGAAATAGACATAAAATCCTTGCATTCAATACAAGTTTTAATACACAGTGCCGCCTACGAAGGAAAATTGATCCACTGTAGCATCATCTACAACGACTGCATTAAATAGTATGAGAATTTGACGTAAGTAGGTACACAGAGCCCCCTGCCTGCATGAAGAGGTTGGTGATAGTTGCCAAGCCCACGAAGCAGTAAAGAAGACATAAACCGTAAAGAATCGCGCGAGCTGATAGCCACCATGAAGGCTCTGCTTTGAATATTATATGGTTTGAGCATAGTTCAGCAGTTGCATTTACTGCCGCATTTGCAAAGTGATTTGTCCATACTCCTGGCGACGGATGTGCAGAAATGCTAGCATTGGTGAAACCTGCACAGTTTCGTTAGTATAGAACAGAATTCTTCAGGAAGTTTGGGCAGCCCTAGAAGAGCAGCATACGGAGAAAGGAAGCATGCGTGTTAAGTAAAGCTCAAAAGCTATTTAAGATGAAATAGAGAGAAGCTACATACCTGCCATAACAAACAATGGAAGCACCCATGAACGTGATTGAAACTCAGTCCCCTACCTCATCTCCGTCTACCTGAATGAATTGCTGCAATTTCGACCATGTGAATACTTTAGTTCTACACCAGGAGATGGTCTTAATAAGATACTAAATTACAAGGATTGATTATCAGAGGTATTCCGAAACCGAACCAACAAAGCTAGGGTTGAGAAGAATTATGATCCTAAATTCATTGATGATAGAACAAGCATCTTTTGTATATTACGAAGTACTCGATAGCGAAGATGGATAGTGCGGTGAAGTTGTAAGAATCATAAAATTGTAGACTTAAAGCAACACGACCTCCATCAGCATGGAATACACGTAATTAACCGCCATCAGGCTCAAACAAGAGAATCTCAGAAAATTAAATACGCTGACGGGCAATACAACTGAAGTCTCCACGCGGCGGATTAACAAGATTAGCTGTGATCCTGGCCTTGTACCGACTAAAAAGTCCAACCCCCAGGAGCTACGCAAATACTACTGTGCGAAGGATGCCACAAAGGGCACGTTAAACTCCCAGTGTAATAAAGCAATTGAAGGCAAAAGTACCGATACAATTGAACGCCTACAGAGATACAAATATTCCACACTTTCAGGGCTCGGAGCTCTAGTGGGCCGCAGCAGGTCACGCAATAATGCACATTTTCGAACAATACTTTCCATACGGGAAACAAGTTCCGATCATGACTGACTGCCTTCCCGTAAACCCGATTGGATGATTGAAAACTCGGCTAACGTGTCAAGGTTCGGAAAGAAACGGAACTGTCTGGATTTGGATATGGTGATCTGAGAGGCATCTGGAACAGTGAAATCCAATGATGAGTACCATATCGAGTGAAGGCTAAGCACTGAAGATGAATTGACCAGGTCGGAGTGTGTAGTAGGCGAAAACAAGGGAGCGGAAGGAAATAGGTCGCCTACGGAGGTAGAGGGACAACTCAAACAGACTGGTAATGCGAAGCCATCACATAGATCGCGTGGGTAGAAGGTTAGTTCACAATGCATGCATTACGAAACTCCCAGCCACCCAAAGCGACAAAAACCCTCTCTCTTGTGTACTCAGTCTGTATGCAGGACCTAGCGGTGAGTATGTACGCAACAGAAGGGACACGAGCCTTGCTTCTTACAGATCGCTTTGATCATCGTCATATCCACGCCTGCTCTTAGACCCTGCACAAACCTATACCCCGAGCCCTTTCTTAGCGTCAGAGCTCCACTTTCTTGCAAAACCTCAGATTAAATTACAGAAGCCAGATCTCATAGAGTCGGTTAGACATCGGCGCGACGAAGTTTTATAACGTGATGCCTCTAAAATTTCCAACACGCAGAAAATAATAAACGTTTGACAAATACCTTTAGATCCCCAGACTGAAACCTGCTGATCCCTTCAAAGACGCCGGCATGTGAGAAGGTCCACGCCCATCCAAGTGCACAGCGAGAAGGGGGAAGAAAAAAAAACTGACTTCCTTGGTTAAGACGACCAAGATGGATGGCGAGGATTGGCAAAGAGGACTGCATTCGGATGCAATTGTCAGAATCCGAGAAACGCGCAAAGGAAAAAAGAAAATGCCAGCATGCGAACTAGCCCCCGCCTGAATTGCTCAACGCACATGGAAGCCAGACCTCGCACACAGGTGCCGCGAAAGAGGCGCTGAGAAGAAACAACTGAACTGCCCACACCAAGCAAGTCTTCGCTGCGATCAACAAGGAAACAGATGGCCCACAGCGCACAGCCCCCAGCACCTCATCCGCGACGTAATGCGCGGATAAACCAAAACGCTGGCAAAAGTGCACAACATTTTCTAGCTACTCATCGAACTTTTCCGACAGAAGTGCAATTGAGGGCTTCAGTAACCTTTCGCAGATCTCACCCCAGAAAACTCGGCTTCAGTAAAGCGTTAGTTGAGACGGGTTCAAAAATGACAGCGCAGGCACGATTGATTGACAGTACCCAACAATCATCTAGACAGCATCCTGGATGATCAGCCGCATGTGAGGGGCATACAAACCATAAAGTGGTTCAATCCGTTTCCGACGCATCATCGCTCTCTTCACTGCACATCTTGTGGGTGGAATATTTGGCGCTTTTCGGAGCTTTCTCAACGAAGCACGTTCCTCGAACTTTTGCTATGTTTTACTGGGTCACAGCTAATCTGCAGAATTAAGTTTATCTGCATCGTTTTTCCCCGACATGAAAAGAGAACCTGAATGATAAAACAACGTTCCGCTTCAGCAGGATTGGATTCGCATTCGGTTCAGAGTGTGGTGGTCACTGAGGCGGCGCCGCATGATTGAAGGGGCGTGTGGAGAGCCATGGACAGAGTTTGCATTAGTGAGAGAGATCGTGTAACAATTGCAATTTTAAAAAGCTCATCTAATTTGCGCTCGTCTCAATCAGAGAGGCTCTTCGCTCATCCGATTTCGACTCACGGATTTGGCAACGAATAGCTGTGTTAGTCAACATGAGGAAAAATGATAGAAAAAATTAATTTGATTTAAAAGTGTAATTTGAGGATTCAATAAAAACAAGAAATGAGATATGGAAAATAAATATTGATACAAATTTTGCAGTGATTATCAATTCAAATATTAGAATCCAAATTTTTGATCCCAAAACCGTGTCAGATTGAGATAGTTTGATTTGCACAATCTTTGCATGGGTTATATTAAGAGAACAATTTGATGAGTTTTTAAATTTTTCTTTGTATATTATAATTAAAATGTAATTGATTTTGGAAGCATAAAAATAAAATAATAATTTAAAATAATAATGATATTTTAAATAATGACAAGTCATAAATTGTTTTATCATATAAAGTGTTAAAGCAATGGCATATAATTTAAAATATTAAATGGCATTATTTTCTAAAAAATAATTAAATCTAATATTTATAAATAGAAGCATAATATGATTTAGTTGTCAAAAGAATATTAGTATTAAAGGCAATAATTTAAGAAAATAATTAAATAAAAAATTACAGATAATTATATTATAAAAGTTATTCTTGAATTTATATCTAAAAAATATTAATGATAATATTTTTAAAATAGAATTTAAGATGTAGTTTTTAATCAATAAAAATATTTTAGAGAATCATGAATGAGATATCACACTAATAGTTTAGAATATTATAACTAACTTCTCAACAAATGTTAACAATAGAATATTATAAATTATAAAAATATAAATGATTATAACAAATTAGAAACTATAGTAAAAGAATGGCAATGCCAATTTTAATTAAGTAGAGAAAATAGTAAAAAAATGAAATGAATTAAAGTATTATATATGTATATATGAGCAAATATATACTTGTGTGATCAAAAAAATAAGATACAATTAAAATAATAAAATTGATTATTTGATTGTATATAATAGATAATACAACAAATTAAACTAGGATTTATAAATTATCTAATTAGTATTGGGACAAAAATAGGGTATAAAGAATTAAGCATGTGAGATATAAATGAGTGCAACAACAAAAAGAACAAATTGCAATTGGATGAGGGTGTGAACAACCACAATAACAAATAGAACAAACTACAATTATGGTGTATATAATCAAGTACTAGAAGTATAAGCATTTAAGATAGAGTGTGTATATAGAGGATTAAAACTATAATATGAAAAATAAAGATCTTGATATGTAAATAATTAGAAAAAAGAATATGAGTAATTTGGAATTGATATTAATGAACAATCTATTAAAATAATAATAATGTAAGTACTTGCAACAAAGAATAATATTGCAAAGCTATATAAGTACAAAAAAATTATATTACAATAATATAATAATGGACTAAACCACTTTATACAAAAGAAGTCAATCAAACTATCAAACAATATGTAAAAGAATATTATATGGAAAGAGAAGAAATAATTGCATCAATGAAAATTAAAGAAAGCTTAAGCACATTAAAATAATTGACAAATGCAACAAATGTACAAGAGTGGCAAAATAAAAATACTAAATTATACAAAGAATCATATTGTAATACTACATGATAGAACATTCCAACAAAATAATCATTATTTTATTATATTAGTATAGTCAAAAGTTAAAGACATGATTCTTGAAGAAAGAAAATCCTCATTACACTCTTATGACACTAAAAAGAACTAGAAAGTCACTCAAAAATGATATAATATTGAACTAGAATGGCTATTGCCAAAAACAAAAAGACTAGAAAGGTGTTGACAAGAGTGAATAATGCTTCACTGTAACTATTGAAGAAATAGAACTTTGAAGTCACAACACATAGCATCAACAAGGTTGTACACAAAGAGAATATGGAATAAGATATCTTTCACTTCTAACACCCAATACTTATAAGTTGTGGTTGCTGCCCTATAAGACAACTTCCACTCATTGACTTTTACACACATGATCCTTGATCCTAGGATCTTTTGGTATCTAATGTACCTCGAGGATATCCTATGGTTCTTGGATCCTTTGGCATCTTACTAATCACAAAGGTCTCCTATGCCAAATACTAATTACTCTTACATTGTTTATGGATATTTCTTAGTTTATACTTTGTCCTCTTGACTTTGACTCTTGATCCTTGACCTCATCTTATATCATAGGATGCTCTTTCTATATACTAAGAATCAACTCTTTGACCATTAGCAACTTACTTTAGCTAATATCCACCACAAGGTAATTTATTCTACTTTCACTTTTATTTCAACACTCCCATTTTATTATTAGTCAAAAGACTTTTAATTCTAATGCCTTTATCAACATGTGATGTCTATCCTTTACTAATGCCTTTCTCAATAAATTAGCAAGCATGTCTTCAGTTGCACAATACTTCATATCAATCACTCCCATTTCAATCTTTTCTCTTATGAAGTGATGTTGAATGTCAATGTGCTTAGTCGTTGAATGATGCTTTCGATTCTTTACAAATGCAAGACATCTTTGATTGTCACACTTCATTGGAGTTGCTTCCATTTGCACATCTCTAATATCCTCTAAAAGCTGTTTTAGCCATATTGCCTCCATTGCACCATTGCTTGTTGCCATGTACTCCGCTTCCATTGTTGACCTTGCAATTGTTGGTTGTCTTTTGTAATTCCATGAAATTGCTCCCACTCCAACAAAGAATATATATTCCATTGTTGATCTTTTATTATTTGCATCTCCAACCCAATCCATATTATAATAACCATGCATAGTAATGTTATCACCTCCAAGACATAATTTGAAGTTCAAAATACCTTTTAAGTACCTCATGATCCTTTTGATGGTTTTCCAATAGATTGGTCCAGCCTTTGACATGTATTGACTCACAACACTCACCGCATATGCAAGATTCACCCTTGTGCCAACCATTGCATACATTAGTGAGCCTACTGCTGCCTTGTATGGAACACCTTGCATTTGTCCTTCAACTTCAGCAAATTCTTCTTCCATGAGCTTCATCAACTTCAAATTGGCCTTTAAAGGTGTTCCAATAGGCTTATACTCTTCCATGTTGAATCGTTTCAATACGTCTTCAATGTATTTACTTTGACTCATTGTAATGGTCTTCTTAGCACAATCTCTCACAAACTCCACTCCTAAAAAATAGTGAAGCTCTTCCAAATCACTCATCTCATATTCTTTTTTTTAACTTTGCCTTCAACTAATCCATCATCTTTATGGCATTGGTTGAGATGATCAAATCATCAACATAGAGGATGAAAATCAATATGAACTCATTTGATTGCATCACATACAATGAATGATCAGCTTCACTTCTTACAAATTCTTCATTCACATAAAGAATGTATCAATACGTTGGTACCATGTCCTTGGAGATTGCTTCAGTCTATACAAGGATTTCTTCAATTTACAAACAAGGTCTTATTTGCCATATTCAACAAATCCTTGAGGTTGATCCATTTAGATGTCTTCTTCCAACTTTCTATTCAAGAAAGCCGTCTTCACATCTATTTGATGTATCTCCAAGTCCATTACTGCCTCAATTGCCATAATAGTTTTAATAGTGGTGAATTTGGCCACGGGAGCAAATGTCTCATTGAAATCAACTCCAACAACTTGTGAATATCCTTTGGCAACCAATCTATCCTTGTATTTTTTAATATTATCCATTGCATCTCTTTTGATTCCAAACACCCACTTACAACCAATTGAAGATCGATTTGGTGGAAGTTGAGTCAATTCCCATGTTTCATTATTCATGAGTGATTTATACTCTTCTTCCATGGCATTCTCCCACTTCATAGCATCCGTGGACTTCATTGCATCACATAAACTCAATGGATGAGCAAAGAGTGCAATATTGACATGTTCTTCACTTACTTGAAGAAAGATGTGGTTCTTCCACCATGTACCAAGCTGTTTTCGATCTCTTAAAGGATATGTCCTTTATTTGATGAAGATTCACCTTCATACACTCCAATAGCTCTTGCAATCTTTTTTTCTCTTAAAACTTCTTTCTTCACACTTAAAGGTTGGTACTCCTCATCACCATCATCATCTTCAACATCTTGATTGTCTTCATTGCTGGTTTTAGCAATTGTAGGTACCTCATGATCTACCTTCATTGATTCTTCATCTTGATTTGAAATTCCACCATCTTCAATATCATCATCATCATCATCATCATCATCTTCTTCTTCTTTCATTGCTAGAATTAAAGATATGTCCACAAACACACCATTACTCCCACTTTGACACATCTCCAAGTGCTCACAAGTATTCTTGTGTTCCAAAAATCCTACATCATGACTTTTAATGATTTTCTTGCTTTCTAAATAAATGAGCCTATATGCTTTGGTACCTTCACAATATCCACAAATACACATTTTCTACTCTTTGCATCAAGTTTAGACCTCATGCAATCTGGTACCTTTGCATAAGCAATACATCCAAAGATCCTCATGTATAAAATACAAGGTTTCTTGCCACTCCAGGCTTCTTCGGGAGTCATTGATGTGAGTGCACTTGTTGGACATCTATTCCTTGTATA